CACTACGAAAGCAAAAGACTTGGCAGACGATGCAACATCCCCCCAATGAAAAGCAGGGGTGTCACTAGCACGTTAAGAGACCATACAATAAGTGTCAAGGGCCCGAGACTGTTCAACTGCCTCCCAGCATACATAAGGGGGATTACCAACAGACCCCTGACAGTCTTCAAGCTGGCACTGGACAAGCACCTAAAGTTGGTTCCTGACCAGCCGGGCTGTGGCTCGTACGTTGGTTTGCGTGCAGCCAGCAGTAACAGCCTGGTTGATCAGGCTCGGATCCACCAGGAGGCCTGGTCACAGACCGGGCCATGGGGGCGTTGACCCCCGGAACTCTCTCCAGGTAAACACCCACTCATGTATTTATCTAACCTATTTTTAAAACTACACAACGTTTTAGTCTCTATAACTGTACTCGGGAGTTCGTTCCACTCATCCACAACTATATTACCAAACCAGTGCTTTCCTGTATGCTTCCTAAATCAAATTCAAATTCAAAGTTTATTCTCTATAAGGATTACAATGTTGAGTTTACAGGAATTTGGTTATTGTGTGGTTTACATGTAGTAAAATAGTGATTACAGAGTGTACCACTAGAACGCTTAGCATGGCTAGGCATTTCGGGCAGACTTAGTTTTATTCTTAATTGTAAAATATTACAAATTATGAGGTAAGTTGGTATTATGGCTAAGTGACTAAATACTAGTTTGTGAGTTTAGCAATGTGAATGCTTTTGTTTTGGCACAGTACATAGTTTCAGTATTGGAGTATCACAGGATTCATTATTTTAGATTGAGATTAATATTTCTGTTATGGTCAAATGAGTGAGTGAGTGTAAGTGTGAACACCAGGTGGTATTCGTGTAGTTAGTTGACGGGGTGTATCAGGGAGATAAGATGTTTTCTAATGGTAGTTTTGAAGGTGATGAGTGTGTCTGCAGTTCTAGAGTTCTCAGGTAGGGTATTCCAGATTTTAGGGCCTTTGACATACATTGAATTTTTGTAAAGGTTTAGTCGGACACGGTGAATGTCGTAGAGATGTTTGTGTCTGGTGTTATGCCTGTGGGTTCTGTCACAACTATCAAGAAAGCGTTTTAGGTCAAGGTTGATATTAGAGTTTAAGGCCCTGTAGATGTAGATTGCACAGTAGTAAGTGTGGATGTACTGAACAGGGAGTAAGTTTAGGTCTATGAAGAGTGGGGGGGGGGGTGTTGCCAGGGATGGGATTTTGTGATTATTCTTACTGCAGCTTTTTGTTGGGTTATTATTGGCTTTTGGTGTGTTGCTGCAGTTGATCCCCAAGCACAAATAGCATAGGTGAGGTATGGATAAATAAGTGAGTGGTATAGTGTGAGAAGGGCATTTTGCGGCACGTAGTATCGTATCTTGGAGAGGATCCCAACCGTTTTGGATACTTTTTTGGTTATATGCTGGATATGGGTGCTGAAATTCAGGTTGTTGTCAAGGTATAAGCCTAGGAATTTGCCCCCATTATTTCTGGTAATTAGAGTGTTGTCAATCTTAATGTTAATTTGTGCATCTCCTGCTCTGCTACCAAACATAATATAGTAGGTTTTGTCAGTGTTAAGCGTAAGTTTATTGGCTGTCATCCAAGTCGATATTTTGATCAGCTCCTCATTCACAATGGTGTTGAGGGTGGCAAGATTAGGGTGAGAGATGACATAAGTCGTGTCGTCAGGAAAGAGAATGGGTTTCAGGTGGTGGGATACGTTTGGAAGGTCATTGATGTATATGAGGAAGAGCAGGGGACCAAGGACACTTCCCTGCGGAACTCCAGTATCAAGTGGCCGTGTTGCTGATGCTGTTTACCTGGAGAGAGTTTCGGGGGTCAACGCCCCCGCGGCCCGGTCTGTGACCAGGCCTCCTGGTGGATCAGCGCCTGATCAACCAGGCTGTTGCTGCTGGCTGCACGCAAACCAACGTACGAGATACAGCCCGGCTGATCAGGAACTGACTTTAGGTGCTTGTCCAGTGCCAGCTTGAAGACTGCCAGGGGTCTGTTGGTAATCCCCCTTATGTGTGCTGGGAGGCAGTTGAACAGTCTCGGGCCCCTGACACTTATTGTATGGTCTCTTAACGTGCTAGTGACACCCCTGCTTTTCATTGGGGGGATGGTGCATCGTCTGCCAAGTCTTTTGCTTTCGTAGTGAGTGATTTTCGTGTGCAAGTTCGGTACTAGTCCCTCTAGGATTTTCCAGGTGTATATAATCATGTATCTCTCCCTCCTGCGTTCCAGGGAATACAGGTTTAGAAACCTCAAGCGCTCCCAGTAATTGAGGTGTTTTATCTCCGTTATGCGCGCTGTGAAAGTTCTCTGTACATTTTCTAGGTCGGCAATTTCACCTGCCTTGAAAGGTGCTGTTAGAGTGCAGCAATATTCCAGCCTAGATAGAACAAGTGACCTGAAGAGTGTCATCATGGGCTTGGCCTCCCTAGTTTTGAAGGTTCTCATTATCCATCCTGTCATTTTTCTAGCAGATGTGATTGATACAATGTTATGGTCCTTGAAGGTGAGATCCTCCGACATAATCACTCCCAGGTCTTTGACGTTGGTGTTTCGCTCTATTTTGTGGCCAGAATTTGTTTTGTACTCTGATGAAGATTTTAATTTCCTCATGTTTACCATATCTGAGTAATTGAAATTTCTCATCGTTGAACTTCATATTGTTTTCTGCAGCCCACTGAAAGATTTGGTTGATGTCCGCCTGGAGCCTTGCAGTGTCTGGAATGGAAGACACTGTCATGCAGATTCGGGTGTCATCTGCAAAGGAAGACACGGTGCTGTGGCTGACATCCTTGTCTATGTCGGATATGAGGATGAGGAACAAGATGGGAGCTAGTACTGTGCCTTGTGGAACAGAGCTTTTCACCGTAGCTGCCTCGGACTTTACTCTGTTGACGACTACTCTCGTGTTCTGTTAGTGAGGAAATTATAGATCCATCGACCGACTTTTCCTGTTATTCCTTTAGCGCGCATTTTGTGCGCTATTACGCCATGGTCACACTTGTCGAAGGCTTTTGCAAAGTCTGTATATATTACATCTGCATTCTTTTTGTCTTCTAGTGCATTTAGGACCTTGTCGCAGTGATCCAGTAGTTGGAGACAGACAGGAGCGACCTGTTCTAAACCCATGTTGCCCTGGGTTGTGTAACTGATGGGTTTCTAGATGGGTGGTGATCTTGCTTCTTAGGACCTTTCAAAGATTTTTATGATATGGGATGTTAGTGCTATTGGTCTGTAGTTCTTTGCTGTTGCTTTACTGCCCCCTTTGTGGAGTGGGGCTATGTCTGTTGTTTTTAGTAACTGAGGGACGACCCCGTGTCCATGCTCCCTCTCCATAGGATGGAAAAGGCTCGTGATAGGGGCTTCTTGCAGTTCTTGATGAACACAGAGTTCCATGAGTCTGGCCCTGGGGCAGAGTGCATGGGCATGTCATTTATCGCCTGTTCGAAGTCATTTGGCGTCAGGATAAAATCGGATAGGCTTGTGTTAATCAAATTTTGTGGCTCTCTCATAAAAAATTCATTTTGATCTTCGACTCTGTCTGGTTAGCGGGCTTGCTAAAAACTGAGTCATATTGGGACTTGAGTAGCTCACTCATTTCCTTGCTGTCATCTGTGTAGGACCCATCTTGTTTAAGTAGGGGCCCAATACTGGGCGTTGTTCTCGATTTTGATTTGGCATAGGAGAAGAAATACTTTGGGTTTCTTTCGATTTCATTTATAGCTTTTAGTTCTTCCCGCGATTCCTGACTCCTAAAGGATTCTTTTAGCTTAAGTTCGATGCTTGCTATTTCTCTGACCAGTGTCTCCCTGTGTCTTTAATGGTGACATACTGATACCTATTAGTAATGTAAGATTTGAAATAAGCAAGCGCATGGCCTCTTATACCGTAATGATCAAGTTTGTGGAGTAGGATGTCGTGGTCTACTGTGTCAAAAGCTTTTCTTAGGTCAATAAAAATTCCTAGTGGATATTCCTTATTTTCCAATGCTGTGTGAAGCAGATCTAGCATTTTTATGATTGCATCATTAGTGCTTTTATTTTTCCTGAATCCAAATTGGCAGGGGTTGAGTATGTTTTGAGCCGTTATAAATGAATACAGTCTCCTGTGCACGAGTTTCTCAAAGATTTTGGATAGCAATGGTAAGTTAGATATTGGCCTATAGTTGTTTAAGTCTGTAGGGTCACCACCTTTATGTATTGGTGTAACTCTTGCCATCTTGAGTAGTTTCGGGAAGGTGCTAGTCTCTAGTGACTTGTTAAAAAGTAATGAAATAGCATGCGAAAGGACATGGGCCGCTCGCTTGTACAGTAATGGTGGGACATGAGACAGATTCCCCGAGTTATTTTTAAGTGACTATAATCTCGGTGACTTCTGTGGGCTCAGTTGGTGCAAGATAGAAGGAATTAGGGAAATTCCCATCTAGGTAGTCCCTGGCATGGGCATTGGTATGTGGGATTTTACTGGCGAGATTAGATCCTATGGTTGAGAAGAAGTCGTTTATCTTGTTAGCTGTGTCATTGGGATGTAGTGGTGTTTCATTAGGTTTAGTTAGGACAATATTCTTGGTTTTTCTCAGTATGTGGGTCCCTAGAATCTGAGAGAGTGTTTTCCAGGTCTTTTTTATATCTCTAGTGTCTGTGAATCTACTGGAGTAGTATAGTTGTTTGGCTTTCTTTATTACTTTGGTGAGAGCTGATGAATAGTGTTTAAGAATATCTTTGTGTATTAAGCCCTGTCTATATTGCTTTTCATATTGGTGTTTCTTGTCAATGGATTTCAGAATGGTGCTGGTTAGCCATGGGCAACCAACTTAAAACCATTGTTGCTAGATATTTTCAGCACGTTATTGACATCCCCTTTATTTATTCCTGTCTTCCATTTATACACCTCAATCATATCATCCCTAATTCTACGCCTTACTAGAGAGTGCAGATTCAGAGCCCTCAGTCTATCCTCATATGGAAGATTTGTGATACATGGGATCAGAAATAAGAGAGCTTAGGACACTGCCCTGTGGCACCCCTAGTAAGTAATAGTCTATTTGTTGAAGTATTATTATTATTAATCAAAATCACTAGGGTCATACAGCACTATAGGGTAGAGGGTGTTGCTGGAGTTGAGTAGCCAGGAGTGGAGAGGATAAAAGTATTGTCATGTTGATGTGTCAGCGGTAAGGTAGCACTTTGTGAGACCCTGGCCTGGACAGGCCTGTCCTCTGACTCCATAACATTCTAATTTAAGCAGCATGATGTTGTGGTCCACTGTTTCAAAAGTTTTTCTTAGATCAATAGACTCATTAAATATTGCTTTATGCTTTTAGATGACTAGACCGAGTCAGTTATTTTTATTACTCCTGATATCAAACTGGTAAAAGTTAAGAATATTATGTATGCACTTCTGTGTACATTTATTTGCATAGTTGTTTTAAATTTTATAAAATAATAGCAAGCCAGAAATTGGCTTGTAGTTATCTGTTGAGTGTAACTTTTAACAGTTTAAGTACTCTACTGTATATTAGGGAAAGTTTTAGTTTCTATAGACATGCTTAACAATTTTGCAATGATAGATGGTAGCACATGAGCAGCTTCCTTATATGTACACATATGTGAATGGTAGTAGTATATTAGCTTTGGTTCCTGCTTTGTTTCACAACAAATTTATTACCTAAATTACCTCTGTAGAATTAGTTGGGATAGGCATAGAGATGGGATAACTTTCAGCGAGGTCCATAATCACTTACTTGGTCGTGGAAGTTGGATATTATTATTATAATCAAGGGGGAAGCGCTAAACCCGGAGGATTATACAGCGCCTGGGGGGGGGGATGTGGAAGGCATTCAGGCTTAATTCGGGGAACTGGAGCACAGATCCAATTCCCTAAATCAAGAGCCCCTCACCAACATCAAGGAACCTTCCTTGAGGGGTTTTGTTGGATAGACTTGATCCTTATAGTTGAGGGATACTTACTTAGTTCATTTATTCTTTCAGTGGTTTGGACGGAAGGCTCATTTTATTTATTTAATTTCTTTGGCCTTAACAGACTTATTTGAACTCGCTAGTGAATATACTGTAACAAAGATGCAGGCTGAAAAAAAAAAGCAGTATGGCTCATTGATTTAATTAATAGAACTATTGTACAACTTAAACTATGATTAATTTCTTTAGTATTAAGTAGTGAGTAAGCCATTAAATTAAGTCTGCTCATAATGCCTAGGCATGATAGAGGCTCTCTTTGCACTGCAACTCCTTATTGTAAATACCTAATCTCAATGTACTACTTGCAAAGAAATAAAATTTGATTGGTTGATTGAACAAGAGGAGCATGGGAAATGAGATTTTCAAACTTGTCTAGCAGAGTAATCTCAGTAGATAAGTAGGCTTACTCATTAAATTAATCTTATCTAGGGCATGATTTAGTGGTTCTTTTACTCATCCTATACGATACCTTTCTAAGACCTTCTAATAAAATCTTCTAATTGTTCATTGCAACATGATGGAAAAATTTTGAACTTAATGAATTAAAAGCATGATAGTGTTATCTTTAGTTTTATATCACGTACTGTTTATTATTCTTACATTCCAGTGGGACCTGCAGCCTAAACCTATACAATCTTGGGAATAAGCTTTCAGGCTTGATCAGGAATAGAGCATGGCTCAATTCCTTAGATCAAATACCCCTCACCAACTTATGTTAGTATTTTTATTGGAGAATAGAAGGCAGTGTGTCAATTTTAATCCAAGCAAGGAGGATAGGTCATTCTTCTTCCCAGAGTCAACTCTAGCATCAGAGCCCTTTAAGGGAGGATTTTTGAAGTTCAATATCAAGAAATTAGTATCATTGTCTAGAGCTTTTTTTCTAAATCGTCACTGACTTTAGTATTATTATTATTAACAATCAAGGGGAGAAGTAAACCAAGGAGGATATCAGTTACGCTGGCGGGGTAAGTGAAAGGCATTCAGGCTTAATTTGGGGGATCTGAGTACAAAATTCCCAAATCAAATGCCATCACAACATTAAAACTTTCTCTTGAGGTGCTTTCAGTATAAATGAGAAAAGTTCAGTGTTTTTGTTTGCTCAACTCTAATGTGTAGAAATATTATGATGTACTGTAGGGTTAATTCTTTCTCTGTCACAACAGGTTGCAGTTCAAGTGAAGGATGCAGACTTGACACAGAAAAATCCTGGCAATGATTCTGCAGTGTCTGTTGGGTCGAGTGATGAAGATGAGGCTAATATCTCCAAGTACTTTGACTATTTAAATGATGATGATCCTGGGAGCGGTAGTGCTTCCAAGAGGAAGAAGAAGAAGAAGAGCCAAGGTAAGGAGAACCAAGGAAATGAAAATCAAGAAAAAGAAAATCAAGATGACAGAAAGGGAAAGGAAAAGCAGGAAAATGACAAGTCATCGGAGAGACCCAGTCGTAAGGGGGAGTACGAGAAGGACATGCGTCATATTGAGCGTCATCTCTCTATGAAGAAGACGATTCGTAAAAAAATGATGCGGGATCTCCAGCAGGCCTTTGTTGAGGATCCAGGAGAGTTTCAGCAGGACCCTAACCGCATGACCCCAGAAAAGAAAAACAACATAGATATCCGTAATCTTACATTCTCTAAGAGCAGGCTCTCAAAATCGGAACATAATTTTCTTGATATGCTTAAAGACGAATCACCAAAGGACAAGGACAAAAAAGATCGTAAGGGAATCCTAGGCTATAGAGATATAATGAAGAATAACAAAAACAAAGAACCCAATGATGTAATTAAAGATGATGACTCAGGCAATGGTTCCCCCTCACGTGAATCCCCAAAGAAGGCTCTCAGCAAGGAGGATTTGATAGAAACAAAGGACACACCAAAAGATGATAAGAAAATAGGATTCTGGAAGAAATTAACTGGAAAGGGGAAAATCAAGCGGTAATAAGCTGAATTTCCCTTCCACTGCCCCCTAATAACAGACTGTGATAACCCTCCTGTGCCTACTGCATCAGCAGCTTCTACTTATCCTAAGCACTTATGTCTCCTGTTGGATAGTTCTTGGGTTCACCAATCATAACTTAACCTCTATTTTTTTAAATGCTTATGGTCTTAGTCATTCTTCTTCAGTACTTTATTGCTGAATATTTACTTTTTGTCTCTTTAGTCACTATTTAGTTCAATTCTTGTCTGCTTTTGTACTTTCAGCTCCATCTTTGGGATCTTCACCCACAGCTACACTCAGTACAGCAAGTTAGCCTTCAGACAAAGTGGATCTTTGCTTTCTGACATGTTCATCTAATTCTCTTCCACTAGTCTCTCTCTATGTATTCCAAATTGCAACCTCCAATTTCACCATATTAAAATAAACCTCATCTGTAAGTTTATGTAAAAATATTGATTCTGTACATATATATATATAGACATAAATGTCTTAGAGGAAAGGGTGACCCTAGAGTTCACATATAATAATTTAAGCTTGGAATAAACATTTCTCAGCTAAGTATATTTGTACACTTTTTCATCAAGGTAATAATTTTGTTGTGATCATTTTAAGGCAAGATTACCTGGCATTTATTTAACATGTGCAGTTTTATTGATTTTTAGTTATTGTTTTATAAATTATATATTTTAACACTACTGAATATTATATGGTGTTTTAAAACACCTATTCAACATTTATGAGTGATTCATAAGTTATTATGGGTTTTTATGTTTGGTTATAAGGTTCAAATTTCTCTTTACTTGCACTACCTTCATTATTAAATATTGCTGTCCAGAGTTATGAATATTACAGCTTTAATTGTGTTTTATAAGGTATTACATTAAGCCAAGGGGATAAAAATTTATTAACTATTTGTAAGAAAACTCTCAAAGTCAAAGTCAGAGGTGTGTCCAGGGCTAAATTAAACCAGTACTGTATTTTTAATTGGGAGAATTCCATCATCTAATAAAAATAAAACCATAAAATGGTTTTAACACTAAGATAATTAAAATGTTCTAAAAACCAGGATTCAAATAGCAGAGTGAGTGTATTATGTTCCACGTAGAAGCATGTCTCAACATAGACCTACCTGACGGTACACAAAGCCAAAAAAAATATGTTAAACCTCTTGTTTTGGTACAGTGCCAATAGTGGCTGCCTCAATAATTCTTTAGTTTGATAGATTCATTATGGCTGATGAAATTTTAATGTAGCTGATGCATTATGGTTGACAAAATTGTTACACAATGCATTTTTGGACTCCTACTCAATAACATCTACAGTAATGACAACATATACCAGTATACACCAAGAGCCACCTCCTTGTGTTTTGTTAGAATTCATTATAAGTGTATTGAGTAGCCTTCCATTATTCAAAAATGTTTAGATCTGAATCAGAAAAAAAAAAAAACAATATTGGGAAAACTTGAGTAATCTTGTGTTAGATCTATAAAGGTACAGTGTAGGATGTAGTTTTTCAAATTCCAATTCAACTTTTCAACAATAATAGGCATAATGTTTTGTACAACAATCCAACTTAAAATTATACCAAACACTGACACTATACAAGTGTTCTTTAGTGTTAGTGAAACATACCATGATCAAGTTTTCTTTTCAAGAAAAAGAGAGAAAAATAATTGTGAATTAGAAAATGCATGCTAAATGTCAAACACATTCATTTAACTTTGTTCCTAAATACACTGACAAGCCCTTTAACAAATGCAGTGACACAAAAGTCAATTGACACTCAAGGAAAACACTGCCTAAAATCTAGTTCTAAACTAGCTCTGATACTCAATGTGTCCATAAAAAATACAATGCTCCAAGTGATTCATAAGTTTATCTCAGAGAGCTGTTAGTATTGATGGTGTAATTCAGTAATGAATGTGAATGAAGAACAGTATCATGAATACCCTTCAAGGGGGAAAAAGTGCCTTCGTGCTGAAGGGTTCTTGATCCAAGAAACAAACTAAACTCCACTCCCCTTACTTGGATCATACATGGTTTCCCTTCAGTTCCCAATGGGCTTAATTTTTCTCTGTGGGTATACAGAGTTGGCCCTCCCCTCCCCATCTTTGCAAGAGATGGGAAGAAAGGAAGGGGTTATGATCCAAGAGGTTATTGTGAATCTAAAATCTGCAAATACAAAATTGTGTGAATATAAATTTTGTTTCAGACTTGGTGTAAGAATAATAATTATAATTTTTATTTCTACAAGTACATGATACAACTAATACAGACCCATCTGACATCACTGGTATACTACACATATAGACAGCCCCTGATTATGCAGAGCATTTCAGGCAACTTGGATTAATCTTATTCCCCAGGATGCAACCCACAAGTAACCTAACACCCAGGTACCTATTTACTACTAGGTAAACAGGGACATCGGGTAATAGGACAACATGCCCAACATTTCACCCATGCTGAGGGTCAATCCCACACCCTCAGTGTGAGTTGAGGATGCTACCAATCAAGCCACGATAATGTTCGTTTTTGTTTTCTTAACACATTGGCCATCCCCCATCATGACAGGGGTGACCCAAGAGAGAGGAAACACCACCATTATTCCTTCAGTCTCTGTCTTGCAAAGTGTGCTGTGTTCAGATGGTCTCTCTGAGCTTTTGCATTTTCATTAAAAATGATGTGAAAAGAGATTTAGGCATGGGAAATTGAATGAAAACATTCTCAACAAAATTCTAATGTTAGTTTTCAATTTTGGGGTCGTGTGCCAAGCCCAAAGAAAATGTGCACTAAGAAGAAAAACCCACAAATAATCAAATGTACTTGCTAATTACCCATCAGTAAAATGTTTAATAAACAAATTCTGAAGCTTTGGGAGAAGTGGAGAGCTATTGTATATGTGTAACATTATGCATAGTACAAATGCTGTAACTTATAATGAAAAATGTTCCTGTTGTTACTGTGCCACTCTCATGTGCTGTATAGTGAACGAACCTTGCAGGGCTGGCTGCCATCTTTACATTATTATACATTTTTTTTTTAAACAAACTGTCTTCCACTGAGGCAGGGTGACCCAAAAGTGTTTGTGCCTATGTGATCTTTGCAGCCAAATACACTGTATGAGTGTTCATCAATATATACACAATAAAGTAGCTTTCTGGAGTGAGAGAAAATGTAAAATAAACCCAGTGAAAAGTATGGATGCCATGTGCACAATAAAAGAACACTGTATCAACATTTCGAGGCCTAGACTATTTAACCTGCTACCTGCAGATATCAGAAATATTGCCAGAACCAGTGAAGAGGTCTTCAAGAGGAAATTCGACAAGTACCTTTGTCAAGTGCCAGATGAACTAGGTCCTGATGGATATGTGAACCAGTGGCCAGCAGCAACAGCATTGTTGACCAGGTAAACATCAACCAAGCTTGGTCCAGGGTGCATGAGTAGGAAAACTCTGAAAACCTCTCAAAGATAGATGACATCAGCTGACTTAGGTACTTCAGTTGCTATCAATAATTGCAGACATCAATTTAAATTTGAACAGCAGTTTGGCTTTATTCTGAAAAGATGGGTTTTGAATTTCTGAATGACAAGGGTAGAATTCTTTTTGGTAACTCTTAAGCTGCCCTGTGGCTGTTCAAACAAACCATGAGATCATGTAGTTTTGGCAAGCAAAGTAATTTTTCCTCATTTACCAATTGTCCACATTGTAGCCTACATCAGTTCTAGCCTATTGTTCAAAAAGTACCTATTAACAGTGACAGCATAATAAATTATTTAGGAGTGTAGAATCGCTTATAAGTGTACCACTGAGCCCTATTTAGCTGGCACTTGTATGATTAATGGCATATGTTTTATTGTTGCTTAAGTCATGAAACCTGACGAACTGAATATCTATTACCTTAAAATTGTATTTGCTTGTATAAACATTTATTACTACTATAGCTTCTTTCAACAATTTCTGACTTGGAAATGCATTTATTGCTAATTCCTTCTAATAATTTTTATCTTAGTTAACAGTTGTAATATCATTATGCTATATGTAATATGTATCAAAAGCAATGTGATTAATGGTTGTAGTCATTTTTATCATATTTGTACATAATTCACCTCATTATTTAGTTTTATGCACTATAATTTGCATTTACTATGTATACTGACCTTAGCTCAGGGTGACCTGTAACACAGTATGTACTAATAGCAGTAGCTACACCTGAGAGATCCCAGGTTCAAACCCCAGATAAGGCTTGACATGAGAACAAGTCTACTTATACCAGCTGTGCCTGTTCACCTAGCAGCAAATAGGTGGTGTTGTAGGTCACTTCCTGGATGAAACAAGATGTCACAGCTGGTGGTGTCATTAAATTTAAAGTTTATCAACTACACAATGGGTCCTGGGTAAACCAAGTGCTGCCTGTCCCTCACACGGGTATTAAACATGTCATTTGGGTTATTAAGAGTACACATAATTAATTACTATTGTCTTACCATCTACATTAATTGGTCTTAAATAAATTTGCAAAGAATATAATAGAACTTACAACAGATATTAAAAAAAACTTGGAGTTAACATAAAAAAAAAATAAAAAACTAAAGGTTTAAGCAGTGTTTTATGTAATAATCCATTTCATTTTAATCAGGGAGCACTAAACCCATAGGGGTTATACAGCACCTAAGAAATGGGAGGCATTCAGGATTGATCCAAGGAAGGATCAGGACAAATTCAATTCCTTGGATCAAAAAGCCTTCACCAGCATCAAGGCACTTTCCTTCAGGGGCCTAAAATATTGTATGTATACTTGTAGTACATAAATAAAATGCAGAACATATAAGAAATTCTCTTCACATTCAAAGCCAATAATTTTTCATGTTGCATTATCAAACTGCAATAAATGCTAAGTTCCAATAAATTTGTCATGTATGTATAATTGTTCTAATTTCTTTAACATTACAAAAGCAAAGCATTGTAATCTGGTAAGTACCATTGTTAACACTATGGAAATATGAATTGTAATGGTAAATGCATTTGAGCAAGTCATTGCCATCAGTCTCAGCTTCCTTCTTACAGTTTCAATGTTGGGATTTTAATGTGTTGCTTTACCAAATGTGTAATTATATTATTGTATTCCAAAATAAACACCTAATGAAAGATGTATAGCACTTTCTTATACTATACCCTTTCTACAGATATATATTCTGTATATATACTTTACTGTATTCTAATATAAACGTTTTACTGAAACCCCTTTTAATTTGGATTTATCACATGGTTTTATGTTATATTGTTAGGTTCTAATTAAATTGATAAACCAGAAAGATACATAAAATCCCTACAGCTGCCATATCAATAACATTTTAAATCTTCTAATAATGAAAGAATACCTTGATGTATGACCAGCACTTAATTTGACAAGTCACTCAAATTAAGTTTCTGAATTAATAAGTGACCCTATTTTGTACATTTTCCAAAACTATGCTCCTTAGCAGACAAGACTGACTTTTCCTTCATCAAAATCCAGGCAAATTACCCTGCTCAAGATATTACTTCTCTTACATCAGTGGGGTTGACTAACTCTGACAGATCAGGTGAGTACTTGCCAATTAATTTTCACCACATTTTACATAATGTAATCAGAGAAAGAATGACATCTAGAGTAGAAGCATAAGAGGACCAGCAGTTTTGCTTAGGTATCTGACACTGTGTTCGAACCCTTGCTTGATAAGAAAATAAAGAAAGAAGAGTAGTAGTAGCAGCACATTTTAGTTAGGGGACCACTGAGGTATACTTTTATGAAAGTGTTTTCTCTTGGAATGGCAATGGCAGCCACCAAGAGTACGAAAACGACAAAAAGGTACAACAGTTTATCCATGGAGGTGCTTTTAATGTAGAAAGAAGAGTAAATTCAATTACCTCTTCCCTTCAGTGGGTAAAAATGAGGAATCAGAAAAAGAAGCAAGGGCCTTCATATTAACTGAAAAAGAACAGCCTGGTGACAGAAAACTGACTGTATGACAAAACTGCAGACAAATACATAGCAGGCAAAAGTGAGAGATGAACAAACAAATAATACAGAATATACACAATGGAAGTGGTTTTAAACTAGTGTTCTGCACACTGCTAGAGGACAAATGTAAGACCTGAGTTACAGTGTAAGCGCAAGAGTAACGACCAAGAATCTGAAGTTACAGAGATGAAGAGGAAGACATATATTTTTTTTTAACATGCTGGCCATCTCCCACTGAGGCAGGATGACCCAAAAAAGAAGCACTTTCACCATCATTCCCACTATTACTGTCTTGCCAGAGGCATGTAGAAATGATAGTACATGTATGTCCCTCCAAATAGCAAATATCCCAAACTCCTCCTTTAGAGGTGTAGGCATTGTACTTGCCACCTCCAGGACTCAAGTCCAGCTAATGAGTTTCCCTGAATCCCTACATCATAGTAACATTAGTCATAGTACTAACATAGAAATGCTCAGGGAAATGACTAGTTTGAGAAGTCTGTCAAAATCCATTTCAAAGACAGAAACTGAAGAAACAGAACAATGGAATGGAGAAAAATTACACTAACATTGGTACAAAGAAGAGGCAACACTGGTGGAAAAATTGACTGGAATAGACATGGAAAGAACTAATATTTGTGGGAAGCACTAAACACTCTTAATAGGCTGGGGAATCTGAAACAGATTTGACCCAAAGAAATGGAGGGTAGCTCCAATTCCTTGTATCAAGAGCTTTTCATTAGCATCAAAGATAACCTGTCTTCAAGGAACCTTTTTGCTAAAAAGGTAGTGAAATACACATGGCAAAACTAACCCTTTCAAGAGGATATTGCCTTTATGCCAAAGGGTTCTTGATCCAAAAACTGGAGCCATCCTCTCATTTCCATTGATCAAATCTGATTGCCTTCCATTCCCCTTCCCTATATTTGTAATAAAACTGAGCCAGACTTGAGTCCCAGAAGTGGGAAGTACAGTGCCTGCACAGTCCACGCCTCTGGAAAGACAGTGATAGTGTGAATGATGGTGAAAGTGTTTCTTTTTCGGATCACCCTACCTCAGTGGGAGATGGCCAGTATTTAAAATATAAACAGGAGGTAGGTTCAGGAACTGAAAATAAACTCTAACAAATTCAACTAAAGAATTACAGTAAGCTGTTATACAGCTCCTCCATATAGTGCGATTTTCAGTAAATGCAATTACAAAATACGTACTTCCAGACTGGATAGCATGTGATACGAAGACCTTTCCACATTCTGTTACATTTTGAATATACTTTTCCATTTAGTTACACTACACAGCGCCATAAGAGGAACTTTAAAAAGAAGAGTTTACTGTATACATTCGCACAGTGTTTTTAAATAAAAAAGTGGCTCCAAGAGACTAATTATAGTATTTGACAAAGAAGCACTAAACCAGACTCACATATTAATGCAGGTGATAACTGAAATTATTTCCATGTTTTGGTTTTAGCTCTTGGGGAAAAAAAATTAATTTTGAAACATAAATAAAACTTACCTTTTTGTTGTACATATAACATATGTGTGGCAAATGAACCAAACTGCAAATCAGAAACTCCATGCAAATAAAAGGTCTAAAAATATGGAACTCTTTACCAATTCTAAAAATGCAGAAAATCTTAGTTATAAAATTCTTTTAAGTTTCAAAAAAATAAAATAACTTGCTCAATAACAAATTTTTAGATTCCACGAAAATCAATTATTTTATTAAAAAAACTGAACTTTCATAGTTTACCCCAAAATATGTTATGCTATTAAAAACTGAATTTTTAAAGTTTCTCAAAAAGTAAAATATCCTGTTAAAAACTGAAGTTATAATTGTATAATAGGAAACAGTATCTGAACTAGCAATGAGATTCAAGCAACAGTACACCACTAAGCTGATGGCAACTGTAATTAAGTATTTTACTCTACATGCTTTCTTATATGTATAATTTTATTATTATTATCACTATTATTAGCACCACATTGGCTGCTCCCACCATGGTAGTTACCCAAAGAAGGAAACACCTTCACCATCACTTATTCAACAGCTGTCATGAAGAATAAAAAGACACAATACCATGACTTGGACAATACACAAATAACCTGCACATAGAATGACTTGGACCATTAACTATTGACTAATTAATAGTCCAAGTCGGACCAAAACATCGTTATCAGTTTTATTCTCCAATACACGGGTTATCTGTGTAACAGCAGTCTTGCCAGAAGTGCAAAGATAATTTTATATAATTATTATCACGATTATTATTATTTTAAAACTCAACGGCTGTTTCCTGCCAAGGCAGGGTAGGCCAAAGAAAATAAGCACATTCACCATCATTCATTCAACTGCCTTCTATCCATTATTATTATCATTATTAGTATTATTATTCATGCAAACACTGATTGAAAAAACTGTAATTCCTCTTTAACTACAATAGCATGTGTAAATTAAAAATATCTCAATGAAATTCCAGCCACTGATGCATCCCTGGAGGAAGATAACACAATGCACGTATTTATATGCTCAAACAAATAATTATATAATGCTTTATGAATAAATGACACTTGTATGTACTACACACAGTAACACTAGCAGAATAAAAAAAATTAAAAAATGTATGGTAAATATATAACATATTACAGAGAATTAACTAGAATAAAACCCAAAAAATACAGCATAACAAAACTGAATTATGCAGAGGATTATCAGGTTTTACTTAACCCTTTGACTGTCACGGCCGTATACATGTATATACGTCTTACGAGGTACCGTGTTTGACGTATATATACTCATAAATTCTAGCGGCTTCAAATCAAGCAGGAGAAAGCTGGTAGGCCCACATGTGAGAGAATGGGTCTGTGTGGTCAGTGTGCACCATATAAAAAAAATCCTGGAGCACACAGTGCATAATGAGAAAAAAAAAACTCCGACCGTTTTTTTTAATTAAAATGCCGACTTTGTGGTCTATTTTCGTATAGTATTTATGGTTGTATTCTTGTTTTCTTGATCTCATTTGATAGAATGGAAAACATATTATAGAAATAGAGGTGATTTTGATTGATTTTACTATAAAAAGAACCTAGAAATGGAGCTCAAAATAGGGGAAATGTTTGATTTTTGCCAATGTTCAAAAGTAAACAAATGATGCCATTGTCCAATAAATGTCCAACTAGCCATTCTAATATGCAGTCATGAATGGGTTGATGTTATTTATATAATTATTACAGTATTGCATTAGTCTGCATAATAGTAAGTCTTCTATTTTTTGTTTGAATAAAAATTCAAAATAGAAAGCAAGAGTAATATCAGAGGGGCCTGGAGACATGACTGATGAGCAAAGAAAATGTTATTTTAGAGCCAGGAATGTCTGTATTGTTCATTCTGGACCTTATTTTGAAACTGTCATATTTTTTAGTTTTTGTGAAATTGGCCAAATTGCAAATTTCTGACCACATTATTAGGTAGTTGAAATCGGTAAATGGGCAGTTTCTTGTACTCAACCGATAGAAAAAATGGAGTTCTAAAGAAATAGTTATGAGTTTGGGCGACTGGAACAATGGAATTAGCCGAAAATAGGGCTCAAAGTGGGCGAAATCGCCGATTTGTAAACAGCGCCGAGGTTGCTAACTTCGCGAGAGCATAATTCCGTCAGTTTTCCATCAAATTTCGTTTTTTTGGTGTCATTTCAATCGGGAAAAGATTCTCTATCATTTCATAAGAAAAAATAATTTTTTTTTTAAATTTTGCGACACCAGGAGACACCTCAGGATTGGGGGTTGCGACAGTCAAAGGGTTAAGGATGACAAACCCTCTTTTTTGTGTATAAAAATAATTTTGATGTTAGAATAGTGCAAAAATTTTGATATTAATAGAATGTACATAATATTTTCTGCAGCAATGATTACATGTAAAATTTACAAATATACTCACAGTAGTTCTTACCCAAACTGTAGTTTTTTTCTTGAAAAAATGGAGCATCTGTGGTCAGTTACTGTCTTGGGGTGTCCCAAGCAATTCAGTATGATCGCTAAATCTAATTTTTCGTTCTCCTTGATGCCATCCATCCGAGTTTTTGTCAGACACTGAATAGTGATTTTCTGCACGTGTGGTCTTAGTGAAATTTCCTTGGGAGTTAGTAGGTTGTTGAAAATTAGATCTTTGTTGATCTGACTGTTTGAAACTATATCTGTGGGGAGGACGTGGCTGGTGGTTCCAAGAACTCCAAGATGAATAAAGATTACTGTGTGATGCTTCTCCTTGAGAATATGAAGAACTCCTTCTCTGATAAAGCTGTCTGGAAGAATCTGAGCTCTTCTCTTCATGAAAATCTTGCACAGACATAAAGGTAGTCTTTTTAAATTTATAATAAATCTTACCTGTGTTGTCATTTTGCATTTTGCTTTCAGTTTTGCCATCTGTATCAGACATGGACATAGAAGCCCAACCAGGTGCAAAAGAATATATATTATCTAAAGACTGATCAAAGACATCTGATTTTACTTCACCAGAGCTCTTATCAGAGGATCTGTTCTCTGGTGGTGGCATCATAGAGGCTGACCCTGAGTTTGAATTTTTATCTATAGCAGTGACACTTTCTTGGTGGCTTGGTGTTGGCTTCTGGGCATGCACAGTTAGTGATGAGCGTTTTGAGAGATATGAGCTGTATGAGCCAGCTGTGGCTGAAACCGACTGTGTGTAAGGAGCACTACTCACTTTTGCTGCAGCGGAGGTGGAAGCTTCCACTGTTCTACCTGCTGAAGAAACTTGTGTGACTTTTGGATTCTTCTGAGCAGAAGATTCATCTCCTGATGTTTCGTCAGATTCTTCTTTGTCTCTGGAAACACACCTAAAGTGACCTAGGAGGTGTAGTGGTAATTTTGGACAAGATTCCACCTGAAATGCAATTATATATAAAACTGTAGATCTATTCCACAAAATAAATACATTGGCTGCAAGTAGTACAACACTTCCCCATAACTACTACGAGCCATAAAATTGGTTGGTTTGACAGATTCCAAAAAATTTACCTGCAAGATAAGTTCAACCCTAGAAAACATTTCTCATATTTAACCAATTTATCACAATTGGCTCTTTGTTATTATGACAAATTAAGATATTCTCATTTATAAGTATGGCAAACCCAGTTGGAATTAGGTATTAATGATAAACAAAACACACATGATAATGAATAAAACACATGTGCAACACTTCGGTATTTTTATTCCAAAGAAGTTTCACCAACCAGTGATTTTTTTTTCAATTCAATATAGAGGTTACTGAAGGTGTTGAAACTGTAGACAGTAGAAGACAAGGTAATCAGTCCCTCAGATTAAATGAAAGTGTTCATCACAGTTGCTCTTTTCTGATGACAGTTTTTTTTAGGGGATTCTGAAGACAAGTTGCAAATGTTGTGGACAAATCTAGAAGGGTATGTAAAAGAAAGAAATTCATAGTGAATATAGTTAAGAGCAAGGTGATGAGGGTAATAAAAAACTAGGCATTGACAGACAGAATATCAGACTGGAGGAAGTGTATGTATTTAGATATTTGGAAAGGACATGTAAGCAGATGGGTCTACGTAAGATGAGGTGAGCACAGAATAGAGGAGACAAAAGTGGGCGGTGTGTTGAGGCAACCAAAAGGAAGTTTTTTTTTTAACACATCAGCCATTTCCCACCAAGGCAAGGTGGCCCCAAAAAAGAAGAAACACTTTCATCATCACTCACTCAATCACTGTCTTGCCAGAGGTGTGCAGATACGATAGTTTAAAACATGAAATATATCTCCACCACTCCTTCAGTGTGCAGACACTATACTTCCCACAACTAGGACTCAAGTCCGACTGACCAGTTTCCCTGAATCCCTTCATAAATATTACCTTGCTCACACTCCAACAGCACATCAAGTCATAAAAACCTTTTGCCTCTACTTGTACTCATCTAACACGCTCATGCACACTTGCTGGAAGTCTAAGCCCCTCACACACAAAAACCTCCTTCAACCCCTCCCTTTAACCTTTCCTAGGATGACTCCCTATCCTGCCTTCCTTCCACTACAGATTTATACACCCTCCAAGTCACACTTGTTTTGTTCTATCCTCTCTAAATATCCAAACCACCTCAATAACCCTTCCTCAGCCCTCTGGATAATACTTCTAGCAACCCTGAACCTCCTTCTCATCTCCAAGATAGGGATTCTCTGCATAATATTCAAGCCAAACGTACAAGAGTATAGAAGTACCTACAATTTTACATGGGTGTGAGGCATGGGCTTTGAGCACTGTAGTGAGGAGTGGAAATGTCACAGCTGAAAGCAGTGTGTGATGCAGAAAATTTGGAGCACTTAAATTAAAAGGTGATGTGGGGTATTCAAGGGTAAAATCCAGAGAGCTATGGAATTGAGGTGGTTTGGCCAGGTAGAGGATGAAGAGGATGTTTAATCTGCAGGAAAAAGGTAGGATGGAAATGGGTCATCCCAGGAATGGTTGAAGAGAGCAATTAAAAAGACTCTTGAGTTTAAGGGACATCCAGCAGTTTTTTATGTGAGTGTGTGTACTCACCTACTTGTCATTGCAGGGACTGATTCATAGCTCCTGGCCCCACCTCTTCACTGATAGCTACTAGGTCCTCTCTCTCCCTGCTCCATGAGCCTTACCAAACTTTGTCTTAAAGCTATGTATGGTTCCTGCCTCCACTACGTCACTTTCTAGGTTATTCCACTTCCTGACAACTCTGTGACTGAAGAAATACTTCCTAACATCCCTTTGACTCATAGGATTCTTCAACTTCCAATTGTGACCCCTTTATGGTGGCCCGGTGGCCTGGTGGCTAAAGCTCCCGCTTCACACACTGAGGGCCCGGGTTCGATTCCTGGCGGGTGGAAACATTTCGACACGTTTCCTTACACCTGTTGTCCTGTTCACCTAGCAGCAAATAGGTACCTGGGTGTTAGTCGACTGGTGTGGGTCGCATCCTGGGGGACAAGATTAAGGACCCCAATGGAAACAAGTTAGACAGTCCTCGATGATGCACTGACTTTCTTGGGTTATCCTGGGTGGCTAACCCCCCGGGGTTAAAAATCCAAACGAAATCTTATCTTATCTTATTTCTGTGTCCCATCTCTGGAACATCCTATCTTTGTCCACCTTGTCAATTCCTTGCAGTATTTTATATGTCATTATCATGTCTCCCCCGACCCTCCTGTCCTCCGGTATCATCAGGCCGATTTCCCCTAACCTTTCTTCGTAGGACAACCCCCTTAGCTCTGGGACTAGTCTTGTTGCAAACCTTTGTGCTTTCTCTAATTTCTTGATGTGCTTGACCAGATGTGGATTCCAAACTGGTGCTGCATGCTCCAATATGGGCCTGACATATATGGTGTACAGAGTCTTGAATGATTCCTTACTGAGGTACTGGAACACTATTCTTAGGCTCGCCAGTCGCCCATATGCTGCAGAAGTTATCTGACTGATGTGTGCCTCAGGAGATGTGCTCGGTATTATACTCACCCCAAGATCTTTTTCCTTGAGCGAGGTTTGCAGTCTTTGGCCACCTAGGCTATACTGTCTGTGGTCTTCTTTGCCCTTCCCTGATCTTCATGACTTTGCATTTGGTGGGGTTAAATTCAAGGAGCCAGTTGCTGAACCAGGCTTGTAGCCTGTCTAGGTCTCTTTGTAATCCTGCCTGATCCTCAACCGATTTAATTCTCCTCATTAACTTCACATCATCTGCAAACAAGGGCACTTCTGAGTCTATCCCTTCCGTTATGTCATTCACATATACCAAAAACAGCACAGGTCGTAGGACTGACCCCTGTGGAGCCCCACTGATCACAGGTGCTCACCCTGACACCTTGTCACATACCATGACTCGTTGTTGCCTCCCTGTCAAATATTCTCTGATCCATTGCCGTGCCTTGCCTATTATGCATGTCTGATCCTCTAGCTTTTGCATTAACCTCTTGTGAGGAACTGTGTTGAAGGCCTTCTTGCAGTCCAAAAAAATGCAGTCTATCCACCCCTCTCTCTTGTGTCTTACTTCTGTTACCTTGTCGTAAAACTCCAGTAGGTTGTGACACAGGATTTTCCTTCCCTGAAACCGTGCTGGTTGTTGTTTATAAGCTTGTGTCTTTCTAGGTGCTTCACCACTCTCCTCCTGATGATCTTCTCCATGACTTGATTTATTTATTTATGTCTTCGCAAATAGTACATTGAGATTTTGTATTTACAATAATGGGTTGCAATGCAAAGAGAGCCTCTATTATGCTTAGGCATTATGGGCCGACTTAACATTATTGGATTACAGACTACTTAACACTAAGAATTATGTCATAGCTGTAGAGTAGAATATTAATTATAACATAGTTGTACAGTAGATTATTAATTATAAGTGAATCTAATTTATATAAGACAAAAGATGTATTCATATATTCAAAATATGTTTTTGTGAAGACGATTCAAAAATGCTTTTATGAAAACAATGATTCAAATATATTCCTGTCAACAATGGATAAAAGGTTCAAAGTAATTGTTGAAATTATGATGTGGGAATAACATAAGTGAGTATGTGTGTACTGAGTATTTAGCATTTAGGCTAGGGTGATTAAGTGGCTTTTGAGAAGAGTCTTAAATTGATTTTCAGACCGGGTTACTTTAGTATCTTCTGGTAATTAATTCCAAATTTTGGGGCCCTTTATGTGCAGAAGATATTAAAGTAACCCAGTCTAAAAATAAATTTAAGACATTTCTCAAAAGCCACTTAATCACCCTAGACTAAATGCTAAATACTCAGTACACACTTACTCACCTATGTACGCCTACATCATAACTGAAACAATCACTTTGAACCTTTTACTCATTGTTGACAGGAATATAACTGAATCATTGTTTTCACAAAAAGCATTTCTGAATATAAATATATCTTTGTATTATATAAATTTTGATTCGTTTATAATTAATATTCTACTGTACAACTATGAAATAATTACTATCCTACTGTACAACTATGATATACTCCTTAGTGTTAAGTAGACTGTAAGCCAATAATGTTAAGTTGGCCCATAATGCCTAGGCATAATAGAGGCTCTCTTTGCATTGCAACCCACTATTGTAAATACAAAATCTCAATGTACTGTTGGCAAAGACATGAAATAAATAAATAAATAAATAAATAGTTTTTACACAGTGTGATATGGACATGAGGTATATCAAAAAGAGATCTGTGTCTTGTGTTATGGTCATGTGCATACTATACATGTCAGTGAAACAGGTGTGTAGTTTAATGCCTCATGTCTGTCTCCTTTCTTAAAAATTGGGACTACATTTGCCATCTTCCATACCTCAGGTAGTTGCCCAGTTTCAATGGATGTGTTAAAGATTTTTGTTAGTGGCACACACAGCATCTCTGCTCCCTTTCTAAGGACCCATGGAGAGATGTTGTCTAGTCCCACCACCTTTGAGATATCAAGTTCAGATAGCAGCTTCTTCATCTCCTCCTCAGCTGTGTGTATTTCATCCAGCACTCGTTAGTGTACCTCCCTATTCTGAATTCCTGGAATCCTTCCTGTCTCCACTATAAATACTTCTTTAAATCTCATGTTGAGCTCCTCACATACCTGTTGGTTGTTTCTTGTGAACTCCCCACCTTCCTTCCTCAACCTGATTACCTGGTCCTTGACTGTTGTTTTCCTCTTGATGTGTGTGTGTGTGAGCGCACACATGCATCTGTGTGTGTGTGTGTGTGTGTACTCACCTAGATGAGGTTGCAGGGGTCGAGTCCAAGCTCCTGGCCCCGCCTCTTCACTGGTCGCTACTAGGTCACTCTCCCTGAACCGTGAGCTTTATCATACCTCTGCTTAAAGCTATGCATGGATTCTGCCTCCACTACATCGCTTCC